TTTGAGAGTAACATAGTAATGAGTTCCAACGAGTATGGGATATATCCTTTCAAAGGCCCTTTAGTAATGGAGTGATGTTAGAAAGAGGAGGTTGATCTTATTATCATGATAGTGATGGTGTGGTAATTCTATTTAAGTTTCTAAATAAGGAGGATGAGGTGTACTATGAGAAATAGTTAAATTAGAGACCTTGGTTGGTTTCAAAGCAGTTGGTTAGTAAGAATCAATGGAGTTGTTAGAGTACTAAGCTTAAATGCGGTGGTAAAGAGTAATAGTCTTGGGATGATTCCATTAAGATAGGTATAGAACCCGAAACCCAAGATTTGGGTTAAGCTTGAATATAATAAGAGCATACCATTAGACTCAGACCTTATTAAGAGTAACCCAATTCCATACCTAGTACAGTCCTCAATCGAGAATGAATGGTCCCAAGGGGGAGATATTGTACACCCCAAAAATTATTTTCGAACTGAAACTTTAATCATCCTTCGTTGTGAGTGGGATTTTTACTAAGTAGTTTGAAATTTCTTAATTATTAAGGTCAGGTCACTAGATTTAGCACCTTAAAATTCAAAAACAAGTGAAATTGAAATAGCAATATCTCAAATTTCGCAAGTTATGCTTGAGGATGAGTTTTGGGTCAACTCAAAACGATCATAAATCTAAGTACAGGAAATAATTAAGTGATCTAAAAGATGTCTAATTTAAGGTATTTGACTTATATTTCCAACGCCGCTATGTTTCGAGTTCGGATGAGTGAGATATGACTCTTAAAGTCGGGTTGTCCAATAAAGGAAAGTTACCAAAAATATGAGAGGTATTTTGGTATTTTCCTTACCTAATACGATTTAAGCATTTTTAATAAGGCTTTAGGAGTCTAAATTGATTATTATTAGTTTCATTTATCCCCAAAAGCGTTTAGGGCTTTAGGGAGAAGATTCAAGAGGAGAAAAGAGGAAAGGATCAATACGTTTGTAGAGGTTCTTGAGTTTCATTGCGGATTTTCATCATGGATTTGATCCTTAAGAAGTATGTAAGCTTTCATACAGTAGGGTTCGTTCATCCACATGCTAATTATGACATATCCAGCGTTGTTTTTCTTGTAATTCAATGATTTAAGTTCTTGAAGTTTCTTTATCTATTAAGTTTTGATGTTAGATTCTATGTGGGTCAACTTCAAACGACCATATATATTATAATATAAAAAATTACGTGAGATATAACCTGACGGATTAGAGGTTTGTATATACTTTACAACGCCACCGATTTCCTGTCAATGAAATTTCTGAGTAAAAAGTTATGACTATTTTAGTAATCTATACAGTGCTATTAATAATTTTAGCCGACGGGAAAACATTAAAAAGTGTTGTTTTTCTTTTTTACCTTCAACAAAACCCTAGATAAATGTTTTGACTAATAAACTCTCAAAACAATCAGATTTTCATCTTTTAGTCCATCATTCTCTTCTCTCTCAAACTCTAAGGCAAAACCCTTGGGAAAAATCGAAGCAGAAGACTATTCAAGATTCTTTCAATCTTTCTTCATGATTCTTTTCAAGGTAAGTCTTTCTACAAGAATTTAATTTTTTCAACTTAAAATCTTCTATACAATTATGAATCAAAAATGAAAATCATAATTCTTGGCCATAGAGATTTCAAGAAACTCATTCAAGAATATCAAGAAATATTTTCTTGATCATTTACCTTCAAGCTAGGGTTTCATGCTTTTTAATCAAGTTCTTCTTCAAGAACCTTATTCTTCCAGGTATGTAAAGCTATCACAGTGTTTGACTATTTCGTCCTCACTCTCTACATCTACTTTAATATCAATAAAAGAGAAATCTAGCAGTCTACGTCTAGAGTTGAGTATTCTTGAGAGAAGTTGATTTTGAGTTTTAAATTGAGTTTTGAGGAAGTAAGTATGAGAATCAGAAGATTCATATACATGAGTTCCATAATATTATGTAGACTCTCTAGTTGATTCTTTCATGCTAATAAATCCCAGATTGACTCCATCAATTGAGTATCATTGAGACAACTAGTATCTTTAAGTTCTAAATCTTGAGTAATGAGTTCCTAATCCCATTGAGTTTATATTTCTAGTCATGAAACTATTACATTTCCTGTGAAGTCTTTGGGTTGAGTATTTCATGACCATAAATCCGCATGAACCCTATAAGTTGAACAATTTTGAGATGAGAAGTATATTTGAGTCCTTGAATTGAGTAGTTCATGCTCATAATTACACATGAACCCTCAGAGTTGAGAATTATTGGAATGAGTAGTATCATTGAAGTTATTGATTTCCAAGTATTGAGTTCTATCTACCGCTAATGAAACCCTTGGATTGAGTCGTTCACGACCATAATTATGCATGAACCATATTTTTAAGATATCTTTTAAAAAAATTATAACTTTTTTTAAGACATAAGTTTTGAGTTGAGTAAAGGGTAGGAGTAAAGTTCATATTCTTTAAAATGATATATGGGAACTAAATATTCCCAAGAGTAAATGTTTTCACATTTAAAATGAGAGGAAACAAAGATTTCGAAAAGAGTTTTGAGTAGTTTTAGTACCATCTCTTTTAAGAGATAGATTTTTGAGTGATTATCTCAAACCACAAAAAATGTTATATTCTTACACATATAAGCTAGTATATTTTGGAAGTAGTATTGAGCACCGATATGGGAGAGAGTTCAGATAAATCACAACCCTCATAAACCATGTAGCCATCATAGGTAGAAATGACATACTTTTTAGATGACTCCTTAGTGTTTTTTAGCATAAACTAGTGTATCCACGCAGTTAAGGCACTCTATTTGACGGCAATGTATTGGACAATCGTGAAAGCATGGGCAAGACGCTATATGATCACTTAGATTCATAGTGGTGGCGGTTGCTTAGAGAAACTCCCACAAAGTAATGTTGTATTTTTATATACACAATGAGTATATTATATTTTCCAATACAATGAGTTGTTATCTATAGTTTTACAACTTTATATATATATATTTCATCTTTTAGTATTGTTTTATCCTTTGAGTATCATGAATTGAGTATTTCAAGTTGAGTAGATTGAGTTGATCTATGATTCTTTGTGTCGAGTACCTTAATTTTGAGTCTCACTGAGTTGATAACCTTATTGCTGAGTTGAATTTGACTATGTTTGAGTAGTTTTGAGTACCCTTGAGTGTTCCTTTATTTGAGTTGAACCATGTTTTTTTAAGTTGAGTTTACTTAAGTGAGTTGAATAAATGTAAGTATGTTTCCTTTTTTACCAAGTTTAAACTTATGTTTGTTTTTTAGAATTCTCTTACATGCTCGCACATTCCATGTTCTTAGCCATTTGGCCTACATCTTTTAAGGTCAACAACAGGAGCTTCGTTGATACCACGTTGAGTTTAAGTTAGCTATGGTGAGACTCCTTTCTTCTAGAGGATTTCATATAGTTATATTAGTTGTTAGGAGGTCATGGGTAGTCCCAACTTCTATCTTTATCATTTGGAGGCTTAGTACATAGATAGTAGAATTTTAGAGGTATGTTTATTTATTTTATTAAATGTTTTAAAGACATAAGTTGCTTATTTCATGGAGAGTTTTATAATTTATTGTTATACAGAGTTTTCTTGTGAGTTAAAGAGTTGCAAAATTGAGTTTATTAAATTTTATTCCGTTTTAAGCATTGTATTCTTGAGTTAGTTTTCCGCTTTTAGTCAGCAAGGAAAAGGTTTTTCTTTGGGACCAACAATGGCTCTCGAGTACCAGCCACGTCTAGGTTTTACGCTCGGTATATGACATAAAAGCAGTGAAGTTGTGTTCTGTTATTCGTCACGATATTCTAAGTTCATTGGTGCAAGTTGAAATTTTTCTAAGGCATTTTTTTTCTTTATATGCCTTTTTTTATTATTTTTTTGGGCAATTTGAAAGCATTGAAGCAATATATAGTCATTTTTGGGCATTTACATAAAGACGTAAAGTTTGTTTTGTTATTCGTAATGATATTCTAAGGTAATTGGTGCAAGTGAAATTTTTTGAGGCTTTTTTGTATTATTTATGTGTTTCTTGATGTTTCACCCATTTTGGGGGCATTTACGTAATATTCGATCATTTTCGAGCAGTTAGGAAATGAAGTAAAGTTTCGATATATTAATTTCCATGGTATTCTAAGCTTATTTATGGAAGTTAAAACAAATTTGAGGAGTTATTTCTATTGTTCATATGTGTTTCTTGACTTTTCAGCTATTTTATTGTATTTACGTAATATTTGGACATTTTTATATAGTTACGAAAAGAAGTAACCATGTTGTGTTATTCTTCACGATATTCTAAGGTCATTGGTGCAAGTTAAAATATTTGAGGCATCTTTTTTTTTATGTGTGTTTCTTGATCTTTTGGCAATTTTGGGGCATTTATTATGTAATATTCGTCCATTTTCAAACAGCTACCAAAATAAGTAAAATTTTGTTGAGTTATTCGCAGGATAATTTAAGGAGGAATTTTTTGTATTGTTTATGTATGTTTCTTGATTTTTCGGCCGTTTTGGGGCACTAACTTGAAATTTTACCATTTTAGGGCAGTTACGAAAGGAAGTAAAGTATTTTTATGTTATTCGTCATGATATTAAAAGGACATTGGTGCAAATCAAAAATATTTTGAGATGTTTTTGTATTGTTTATATGTGTTTCTTGATCTTTCAGCCATTTTGGGGCATTAACATAAGATTCTGTAATTTTCGGGCAATTACAAAAAGAAGTAAATTTTTGTTCGATTATTCGTCAAGATATTCTAAGGTCATTCGTGCAAGTCAAAAAAAATTGAGCTACTTTTTGTATTGTTTATGTGTGCTTCTTGATTTTTGGTCATTTTTTAGGTATTTACGTAATATTCGGCTATTTGGGTAGTTATAAAATCACGTGTAGTTTTGTTCACGAATTCAACATAATATTCTAAGTAAATTTATGCAAATTGAAATTTATTTGAGTTGTTTTTTTACTGTTTAAGTGTGTTTCTCGACTCTTTGGTCATTTTATGGAATTTATCTAATATTGTTCCGTTTTCGAGCAGTTATGAAAAAAAGTAAAGTTTTGTTCTGTTATTCATCACAATATTCTAAGGTCATTGTTGCAAGTCAATAAAAAGTTTGAGGCATTTTTTTTATTTTTTATGTATTTTCTTGATTTTTTGACTAGTTTAGGGCGCATTTATCTGTCATTATAGGACAGTTACAAAAAGAAGTAAAATTTTATTTTGTTATTCATCACGATATTCTAAGTTCATTGGTTCAATTCAAAAAAATTGAGGCTTTTTTGTATTTTTTATGTGTGTTTCTTGATTTTTTAAAACTATTTTAGGGAATTTATGAAATATTTAGCAACTTTTTGATAGTTACGAAAACAAGTAAGGTATTATTATATTATTCATCACGATATTCTAAGGTCATTGGTGCAAGTCTAAATTTTTTTGAGGCGTTTTGTATTGTATACATGTATTTCTTGATATTTCAACAATTTTAGGTCACATTTACGTAATATTCAGTCATTTTCGGTCAGTTAAGAATAGATGTGATATTTTTTTTCTATTTTTGGTCACAATATTTTTAATGTCATGGGTGCAGTTAAAAAATATTTTGTGGCATTTTTTATAATGTTTATGTGTGTTTTTTAATTTTTCGACCATTTGGGGTATTTACGTAATATTCTGCCATTTTTGGCAGTTATGAAAAGAAACAAAATTGTTCCGTTATTTTTCAAGGTATTATAATGTCATTGGTGCATTTCAAAAAACATTTTAGCCATTCTTTTTTATTGTTCATGTGTGTTTCTTGAATTTTTTTGGCTATTTTTGGGCATTTACGTATGATTCAGCCATTTTTGGGCAGTGATTGAAAAGAAGTAAAGTTTTGTTCAGTTATTCGTCGTGAATTCTAAGGCCATAGGTGCAAGTCAAATTATTTGAGGTATCTTGTTGTCACGCCCGGAGCCTACACCCTGGACGTGGCCGGCACTCAACGACCATTATTGTTCTTGAGTGGACCCTTGGTCTGGCTTACTTAACTCAGCAGAAGACTTACTCATTTCAGATAAAAAAGTTAAAAGCATTCTCATAAGATAATTTAATTAATTGTCTCGGCAAAAATTGCACTTAAGTCTCAATACTATAACATGTGAAGTATAAGATAAAGGAGACTCCAAAACAGAACTATTACATTGTCTATGAAGCCTATAAACTGACTGAGAAGGATGTTCGGATAGACCCCATAAAATCCTAATGAACTTATGCTAGAAAAGCAATAAAAGGGATGCCCTCCGGAATGCAAGGAGGTACACCAAGTGACTACGGAGTGCTCAACTGGATCAATGGTGTGCTGTGTGCTGATACTGGTTACCTGCGTCTGCATCATGAAACGATGAAAACCAACTAGCATCAGTACTTTTAAAGTACGAGTATGCGAGTTGGAAACTAAAAGACAACATAAGCTTGAGGGGATCAAAATGAACTTACCTTGACTCTGCTCAACTCAAGAATATACTTAACTCAAAGTATGTACGTATAGCAATTTAAAAAATGTGATATATATAAAGCTTGTAAAATAACAAAACAACTTAGTTCGTTAAAGAAATGCAATAACAAACTCAACCTTACTTATATATGAAAGTAATATAACTTTTGTGGGAGATTTTCTAACGGACAACCATCGCTTTAAGCCCAAGTTATGATACAACGTTTCACCTCACACTACTGAGGACCATCCTAAACCTTGCCATCCGTATAGGACCTTACTTAGATTAGTGGATCCACTAAATTACCTTACGTAATCATCTAAAAAAATGACCTGTCAATTCCCATGACGGCTTCATGGTTTACATGGAGACTTGAGTTAATATAAACTCTCATTCCCACATCGGTGCTCAGATACTGCTCCCAAAATATACTTAAGCTCATACTTTTAATAAAACTTTCCTTGGGGTTGAGATAATTTACTGAACCCTTTAGTTTTAAAAAGCTCCTTTAGAAATCAATGTTCCCCTTATTTGTTCAAAACTCTTTTGGAACTCTTAGTTCCCTTTTAAATTAAATGTGAAAGTATTTATAAACCTTTAGGGACTACTTAGTTCCCTTATAGCTTTTGAAAATTTAACTCAACTCCTTACTCTTTGCTCAACTTGTAACTTGAGCCTTAAACAAAAGTTAAAATGATTGTTTACTCTTTGAAAACCTTAAGAACTTACTTTGACTTGTTTCTTTACTTTTAAGCTTGACTCGTAACTACCTTGACTTTGATCTTAAAATTTCTAGAATTGAATTATAGATTCAAGGATCATGATCTCATGTAAATGGATGATTTAATGATGTTTAATATGTACTTTAGAGTGTTGTAATCAACTAGAAATTATAGGTACATCACTTAGGAACTAGTACAAAAAGATACGGAAAGAACGGGGTCCCCAGAAGGTCTTGGTGCTCGCAGAGGCGCGGGGCGCAAGAGCCTGACGGATAAATATTGTCCTGAGGGGATCTTGCTAGCGCGGCACGCCAGGCCCTGTAAGACAGAGGCTGCTCTAAGGAGCTCTGGCAAGCGCGGCGCCCCAGAACTTGTCTGACGTGATTTCAAACTTTTGTTCTCCGATTTTCAATTTTAACTTTTCTAAACTCCGATGGATCTCACCCCAATCACTAAATGCCTCATTTTGGGGCATTTACAAAATATTCGGTCATTTTGGAGGCATTTTTAAAAATTCAGCCATTTTTGCGCAGTTATGAAAAGAAGTAAATTTTTTTTCTGTTATATGTCACAATATTATAAGTTTATTGGAGCAATTCAAAAAATATTTTGAGGCATTTTTTGTATTATTTATGTGTGTTTTTTTATTTTTGGCTATTTTAGGCATTTACATAATATTTGGTCATTTTCGGGTAGTGACAAAAACAAAGCGAAGTTTTGCTCTGTTTTTTGTCACAGTATTCCAAGGTCATTGGTGCAAGTCAAAATAATTGACCGCATTTTTCGTATTGTTAATGTGTTTCTTGATTTTTCAGTCATTTTAGGGCATTTATGTAATATTCCGGCAGTTACGACAAGAAACAAAGTTTTGTTCTATTGTCCGTCATGATAGTTTAAGGTCATTACTACAAATAGAACATTTTTTGAGGTATTTTTTTGTATTGTTTATGTGTGTTTCTTTATTTTTAGGTCATTTATATGATGTTCGGCCATTTTCAGGCAGTACGAAAAGAAGTCAAGTTTTGTTCTCTTATTTGTTACTATATTCTAAGGTCAATGGTGAAAATCAAAAAATATTTTGAGGCATTTTTTTTACTGTTTTGGTTTGTTTCTTGATTTTTTAGCCATTTTATGGGTATTTACGTCAACTTCGTTCATATTTAGGTAGTTCCGGAAATAAGTAAGATTTTGTTCTATTATTCATCATAATATTCTAAGGTCATTGGTGGAAGCCGAAATTTCTTTCATGTCATTTTTTGTGTTGTTGATGAGTGTTTCTTGATTTTTTGGCCATTTTGAAGCATTTGGATAATATTCGATAATTTTCGGACTGTCACAAAAAGAAATAATGTTTTGTTCTTCTGATATTTAAGGTCATTGGTGCAAGTTGAAATTTTTATGAGAAACTTTTTGTATTGTTTATACGTGTTTCTTGATTTTCGGTCATTTTGGGGTATTTACGTAATATTTGGTCATTTTCTGGCAGTAAAGAAAAAAAGTAAATTTTTGTTCTCTTATTCGTCACAATATTCTAAGGTCATTAGTGAAAGTCATATTTTTTCGAGGATCTTTTTATTGTTTATTTCTTATTGATTTCCGGTCATTCTAGGGCATCTACGTAATATTCGATAATTTTTGGGCAGGTAAGAAAAGAAATAAAGTTTGTTCTGTTTTCCGCCACGACATTCTAATGTCATTGGGTCAAGTTGGAAACTTTTGGAGGCGTTTTTTGTATTGTTTATTTGTATTTCTTGATTTTCAGCCTATTTGGGGCATGAATGTACTATTCATCTATTTTCATGTAGTTACGAAATTAGAAGCTTTTATGTATGTTTCTTGATTTTCAATCATTTTAGGAGCATTAATGTATCATTCTGCTATTTCGGAGAGTTACGGGAAAAAAATATTTTGTTCTCATATTCTTCTCGATCTAAGGCCATTGATGCATGTCAAAAAAATTGAGGTGTATTTTGTATTTTTTTTATGTGTGTTTCTTGTTATTTCATCCATTTAGGGGCATTTACGTAATAATCGTCCATTTTAGGCAGTTACAAAAAGAAGTTTAATTTTGTTTGCTTATTCATCCCGATATTCTAAGGTCATGGATGAAAGTAGAATTCTTTTGAGACATTTTTTTATTGTTTATGTTTCTTGATTCTCAACCATTTTGGGCATTTACGTAATATTCAGTTATTTTCGTAAAATTACTAAAAGAAATACTTTTTTTCTCTTTTATTCATTACAATATTCTAAGGTCATTGGTGCAATTCGAGATTTTTTTGAGACGTTATTTGTATTATCTAATGTTAGTTTCTTGATTTTTTGGCTATTTTTTGCATTTACATAATATTCGATCATTTTTTACCAGTTATGAAAAGGAATAAAGTTTTAAAGTTTATTCGTCACAATATACTGAAGTAACTGGTGCAAGTTTTAAAAAAAAATTGAGGAGTTTTTTATATTGTTTGTGCGTGTTTCTTCATTTTTTGGTCATTTGAGGCATTTACCTAATATTTGACCTTTTTCGGGAAGTTACGAAACCAAATAAATTTTTATTCTTTTATTCATCACGAAATTCTAAGGTCATTGCTGCAAGTCAAAAAGAATTTAAGGTATTTTTTATTTTTTTAATGTGTTTCATGATTTTTCGGTCATTTTGGGGCATTAACATAATATTCAACCATTTTTGGGTAGTTACAAAAAGAAGTGAAGTTTTGTTCTCTTATTTTTCACGATATTTTAAGGTCATTGGAGCAAGTAAAAAATATTTTTGAGGTGTTTTTTGTACTCTTTATGTATGTTTTTTGATTTTTCGATAATTTTAGGGCATTTAAGAAATATTTTGGCCATTTTCCTTCTCTAATTTTTCGTTATATTCAAAGGTCATTGGTGCAAGTAAAAAAAAAATTCAACCATTCTTTGTACTGTTTTTGTTTTTTTCTTGATTTTTCTTCCATTTTGGGGCGTTGATTTATTTGGCCATTTTCGGAAAGTTACGAAAAGAAATAAAGTTTTGTACAGTTTATATATTATGTTTGAGCCTTGCATGATGCACCCAAATTTGGCTAACTGTGTAGAAATACTAGGAAGAGGACCATGATCATCAGAAACAAAGGAGGAGACAGTATCTGATTTTGTTTTGTACACCAAATTACGATGAAGAAGCAATATGATGAATAACGTGCTAATTTAACTACATTAGAGATAGTTATATTATAAATAAAGAATATTAGCGAATGACGTAACAATGTTGTCACTAGTATGCAATAATTCTTTCCAAATTTTAAGTTATTAAAAAATACAAACTAAACTTTGTGCTAAAAAAAGATGAAGTGAAAAAACTAAGGTGTGGTCTATCCCCCACGTACCCTACACCATTTGGTGCTATCTAAGTTTCTAGTGATCTTATCCTCTCCATATCTTAGACATGTTACAAGTTTATAGCTAGGTGGGTTTTCTTGACTACCAAGAAATAGATTATTTTTTTTTGGATTCATTTGGATATGCTACATAAAATGTAAATGATCATATACGTTTAACTTTTATTTGCACATCTAAATTGGATTTCTTTAAGTTATTAAAAATCCGGTCGTTAAACAGTTTAGGGTCGGTAAAGAAATCTAGCCGCCTAAGTCATTTTAGAGACAACAATTCTGGTCTCAAATACTTTTAAGATATCTAACAAAAAGCTCATTTCTGGTCGTTAATCCTCATTAGGGACGATCATTAATAGGTCATAGGACACCTTTAGCGACGACCAACGACCTGGTCCTAGAAACATGTTAAAGACCAGTAACTAGTTGGCCCTAGAATAGTTTTCGCGACGACCAACGACCTGCTCTTTGAATAGATTTAGTTACATTCAATGACCTCGTCCTAAAATAGATTTAGTGACAATCAAACTATTCTAATCCTAGCTTAATCGTTAGAGACGAGCAACATTTCTCATCTTAGATTAACCTTCGGGGACAAGTAATAATTTTGGTTTCTAACTAACCACCAATGGTCATAGAGCAATTGAAATCATGCACATATTAATTACCAAATTTTTTTTATACAAATAGATGATATAAATATATATAGAAGAGACAAGAAGATAGAGATCAAGAGTGTACGATTTTACATTAGAGTGGCTAACATATCATATTTTTAGTTATAATATTTGATTGTCAAAACACACATCTAAGCATCAACAAAAGCTTGGAAGAAAGTTAAAAGTTTCGATCTTCAATTCATTGAGGGTTGTCCAGAAACATCAACAAAAGCTGCAAGAAAATAAGAAAAATCAAATAAAAAAAATTTGTGATGCATAAACAAAGATCAAAAATATATTTTGAAGAACTAAATCTAAATGGAATTTGGCAAATAATAGAAACTAATGATAAATTCTCTCTCCTACGCTTTTCTTCTCTGTATGTATTCTACAACAGTCATTTCCTATAGAGTTAACTACACGCTCCACTCTATGGAGCAGCCATAAGGGACTCCATCAGCGCGTGATTCTTCTCATGTGAGACTTTTACCAAGTGCGACCATGTTGTGGGGATATGTAAGACTAAAGAGGAGGATAAAAAGAAAAAAATATGTAAATATAACTCAGGGAAACGTTTATGCCAACAGGGAAATGACACTGTTGATGATAAGAGAGATTATGTATGAATAAAGAATAAGAAAAAGAAAAGAATTGCTCCAAAAAAAAGAAAAGAAAGATCATATTCAAACCAGCTATCTCTATCATCAAAACAAGAAAGAAACAGAGACAAAATAAGCAAGATCACGACCGTAAATGGGAAACAGAGAAGCAACAAACTCCTAGTCAGAAAACGAGAGGCAACCTAATGAACATACAGAAAAATAAAGTAGCAACAATCAGTTGAATTACAATGGTACAAAGCTGAAAATTACTATTTAACAGTTCAGAGGAAAAAGTTGAAAATACCTTCCAAAATGAAGAAATATGTCGAAAACAAGCAACTAAGGATCAATCATATAAGCAAGTCTACTAACTTACTTACAAAGATTAAAAATCAAAATCCTCTACAGTTAGCAATGGAGCTAAACAGTCACGGGGTCAAATTTTCACCTCGTGGGACAGTATATGAAGGCTTGCACAGCTCTTCAAAACTCAGTCCAACAGCCAACCAAACACACAAGAAACAACAAGCAAGACAATCAAACAAACAGACCACAAAACAGTAAGGAAAGCAACGCAAAGAAGACAAAGTTCTTTGGGAGGCAAGAGCCAATTTTCCAATATTTTCTCCAAATATCTTTTTACAAGATGAGATACAAGATATGCTGCCTAAAACAATATACAAAGGGCTTATAAGTAACTTAAAATGTTTGGGAACAAATTCCAAAAGAAAGGCTACAAGTGGCAGTCTTTACAAGGCTGAAAAAGTGGGCACATTTGCTTTTCTGCTTTATTGCCACTTGGAGAAACTGCTGCACAGATTTTATCCTCAGCATTGGGGGGTGTTCTTGGCTGGACATGGTGGGCATTAAATGTTCATTCTTGCCTACAAGAAACCCCCAACGGTTGGGCTGGAGTTTGGCATAATCTCTTGACTCTCCGAGCCTCGATAGGATGCAGCCGCGTTAACGAACGGGCTGGAATCGTCGGATTTCAATTAATGCCTTGCAGGGCGGTACACGCTCCCCCACCTGATTTGGCGACGACCCCGACGCCACACAATTGCAAATTATTGTGGACCTTGTCGCAAAACTGCCACAGGTCCTCATACTTTTCCCACGTCGTCTCCTCTGGTCCTTTCCAATGAACTAGGAACTGTGAGCTTGAGTTTTTCCAGCCCTTTCCACGAACAAGTTAATGATCAATTATGGACTCAATCTGCTTGTCCACGGTTGGCGGTGTGATGAAAATTCTAGCTCTACCAGACTGCCCCCGCTCTTTGTCTTCCATATCTTCAACATACGGTTTCAATAGGCATGCATGGAAGAAAGGCTGAATCTTCAAATGATGGGGCATGTCTATTCGATATGAAATCTTGCCATCCTTGGCAATGATCTCAAAAGACCCTTCATACTTGCGAATCAAACTTTGACTCACACTCCGCAATGACTTGAACTGTCTTCATTGAGTTTCACCATAACTCGATCCCCAATTCGGTAATCAACCGGTGCCGCTTCTGATCAGCAAAATTTTTCATTTTCCGGGCTGCCTTATCAAGATACGACCGTGCAAGGTCGACTTGTTCCTCCCAGGCTTTCGCCATATGATAGGCATCCGGACTCTTCAAACCGGCATTAACAGGCAAGGATTGGGGCGTATTAGGCTGCCGCCCTGTTGCTAATTCAAAAGGAATCCTCCCCGTCGCTTCGCTCCGCTGCAAATTATAAGAGAATTGGGCAGTGTCCAGCAGCTTGGCCCAATCCTTTTGGTTGGCACTAACATAGTGCCGCAAATAACACTCCAAGAGCGCATTGATCCGCTCTGTCAGCCTATCCGTTTGAGGATGGAAACTGGTTGAAAAGTGCAGTTCTCACCCCAAGAGACTGAATAACACTCTCCAAAATGTTCCGGTAAATCGAGGATCTCGATCACTAATGATGTACTTGGGGATGTCCCAATACTTGACGACGTCGCGCAAGAAGATATGAGCTACCTCCTTAGCCTTGCAACTGGCCGTCGTGGCAGTGATTGTTGCATACTTTGAGAAGCAATCCACCACGACCATAATCGTCCAAACCCTTCCGAGTTCGGCAAGCAAGTAATGAAATCCATCGTGACGCTATCCCAAGGTTTTTTGCAATGGGCAGCGGCTCAAGCAGTCCACCCGGCGCCTTCGTCTCGACCTTGTCTTGTTGACAAATTAGACAAGTCCGCACATATGCCTCGGTGTCGTCCCGCATCCGAGGCCAATAATAAGAAGCCTCTATCAAGGCTAAAGTTCTCTTCTACCAGGATGACCAGCCCAAGCAGTGTCGTGCTCCTCATTGATCAACGTATGCTGAAGGTTAGCCCACTTCAGAACATACACACGCCTGCCAGTAGTATAGAGCAGACCATCCTCTTCCCAGAATTTCTTCGTCTTGCCTTGTTGGGCCAAGGCGAAGAGTTGTTTCGCTACGGGATCATAATGCATGCCCTCTTTTATCCCCTCAACAATAGAGCTGCAATTCGAGCTCACGATTGTAGCCAAGGCGTCCTTGCGACTAAGCGTGTCGGCAACGACATTAGCCTTGCCCGACTTGTATTCAAACGTGAAATTGAATTCTGCCAAGAAATCCTGCCAACGGGCCTGCTTAGCAGTCAGCTTCTTTTGAGATTGAAAATATGTCATCGCGACGGTTTCCGTCTTGACGACAAAGTGAGCACCCAACACGTAATGACGCCAAGTTCTAAGACAATGAACTACAGCCGTCATCTCCCTCTCATGAGCAGAGTACCTCCTCTTCGCCTCATTCAACTTTCTGCTTTCAAATGCTATCGGGTGGCCCTCTTGCATTAGGATGCCATTAATGGCAAAGTCCGACGCATCAGTGTGAACCTCAAACGCCTTAGTGAAATCAGGTAAGGCCAAAATAGGTTCTTCCGTGATATCAGCCTTAAACCTATCGAAGGCAGCTTGACAAGCATCCGACCTTTCCCACTCACGGTTCTTACTCAGCAAATCAGTGAGTCGGGTTGCAATAGCTGAATAGCTGAAAAATAAAGCATCGATAATAATTGGCAAGGCCAAGGAAGGACCGTAATTTGGGTACCTTCGTTGGAGCCTCCTAATTCTTAATAGCTTCCACCTTGTCGCCGTCCATCCTTATCTCGCCATGGCTGATTGTATGCCCGAGGAATTGGACAGTAGGTTGAGCGAAGCTGCATTTCTCCCACTTCACGCACAAGTCATTGTAGCGCAAAACCTTGAACACTTTGCGCAATTGCTCCACGTGATCCTCCATGATGTCGCTATAGACGACGATATCGTCTAAATAAATCACCACAAACTGATGCAAGTATTGGTGGAACAACTTGTTCATCAACGTACAGAACGTCGCCGGTGCATTCGTCAAGCCAAAGGGCATGACCAGCCACTGGAAGGCACCATAGCGCGTCACACAAGTCGTCTTGGGTTTATCACCCTCGGTAATTCGAACTTAGTAATAACCCTTCCTCAAAACCATCTTCATGAACACTTTGGCCTGTCCCAATCTATCAAATAAATCATAATCAAGGGAATTGGATACTTGTTCTTCACCATGACCTTATTGAGGGCCCGCTAAACGATACATAGTCACAGCGTCCCCTCCTTCTTCTTTTGAAACAGGACAGGCGCACCAAACAACGCCTTAGACGGCCTAATGTGTCCCGAATCAAGCAGCTCCTTGAGTTGTTTCCTCAATTCTTCCAGTTCTGGGGGCGCCATACGATAAGGATGATCAACTTCCCTTCAGAGTGGCAACCGTTGGGGAAGCTCTTCCGCCAACACGTCCTTATTTCGCTAAGGACCTGCTCAATGCAATGATGCAATGGAACCGCCTCGGAACAGCTTTCGATGCCTCCAACAAGGGCAACAAGAAAGGTTGGTTCACCTCTTTTGAAGCCCTTAATAATCTGCATAGCCAATAAGTGTATCCCATTTTGTGGTACCCGAATAAGGGGTACCACGCATGAGTCTCCGGTGTCGCTGATGTGTAGCTGGTTGTGATGCGGTGAGATAAACGCGTTAACCTCGTACTAAAAGTCCAACCCCAAAATTACATCGAACACGTCCATCGGTACAATGGTGAAGTCGATCAGCCCCGACCAATCTCCTAAATCGATAGAGACTTTAGGAGCAAAGCCATGGACAAAAGTGGGAGTGGCATTGATTGTCTTCAACATGGTGTTGCTGGCAACATAATTCAGGCCAAGCTCCTTGGCCTTTTGTTCCGTCACAAAATTATGCGTTGCACCAGTGTCCAACATAATTCGCACGTCCTTGCCATTTAACTTGGCATCGACAAACAGTGATTCTCGCGGCTTGATACTAGCCGATTGAGCAGCCAAAGCAGCAATTGAAATATGATTAAATAAATCCATATGATTGAACATACCAACAATAACGTTTTTTCCCTTGTCCATCCCGCTATTCTGCCCCCGTTGCTCCGCGACAGAACCTCTGGTTTGCATCGCAGCCTTTTCTTGCTGCTTTTCGGCAGCCACCATAACACTCAATTTTCTCAAGGATGGACAATAACGAGCAGCATGCGTCGTCTCCCCACAAATATAACAACCTTCACGATGAGGAGCGCCTTTCCTGCAGTTCTCGTAACTCTTGTAGAAATTAGAGGTCGATCACGAGTGTTACTTCTTGTGTCGCTGCCTTGGTTTTGATTCGATATGCATTCGTTCCTGTTGTTTCATCCTTGGGAGGAATAGTTTTGCTCCGATTATCCCTCCCCTTTGCCGCATCTACCCGAAAATCATTGAGCGATTCTACCACTACTATCGCCTCGTCCACGTCGTGAACTTGACGTCTTTGAAGCTTTTGTTTGGCCCAGTTCTAGAGTCCATCCATGAAGTAAAACAGCAAGTCTTCATTGGTCAAGCTCGGAATTTGGAGTGTCAATTCCGTGAACTCTTTCACATAGTCCCGAATAGAGGAAGTTAAACGAATACAACAGACCCCCTTCTCCATGTCCGCCTTCTTCCTTCGCCACCACAACACTGTCATATCAATCAGATAATGGTTGTCCTTCTGATTTTGGCAACCTCGTTTTGCATGTTTACGTGCTCAAAGTAAGCATCCATCTGCCATAAGAAATTTTCCACGTCTTGAGCACTCCTTTCTCCACGAAATTCCTTGGGTTTGGGAGCCTCAATGCATGTCTCACGCACAGTAACCAGAGCAGCAACCCCCATCTCGGCAGCCTCATCAACCTGCCATTTTAGTGCCTCAACCTCTCTTTGAAGGGAAGAGATGGCCTCGTTGATCTTGAGTTCGAGGTTGGATAAACCCTCTTTGTGAACTTCCTCAGGCTCAACAAGGTTGTTCCTCACCTCTTCCAGCCCTTCAATGGCTACAAATTCGAGAGAACTTAAGTTGTTCTCAACAACAACAATCCTTCTATTTAAGGCTGACAACCCCGCCTCAACTCCGATGGTTTTCTCATCGTGTTGGCTATTGTCCGCACCTTCCCCCTCTTCACCAGCAGCTCTACTACCAAGAGAAGGGTTACAAGAAGGTTCTCTTACCTTGATCTTGTCACGTTTCTTGGAAGGATCCTTCCGAACTTCGGACTTCTTGTCTTGGACAGCCTCCTCATTCTGTTAGGACTTCGACGTCATGCTTCGATCGATTCTCTGATACCACTAGCACCGAGTAAAATTTTCACCTTGCGGGGCAGTATATGAAGGCTTGCACAACTCTTCAAAACTCAGTCCAATAGCCAACCAAACACACAAGGAAACAACAAGCAAGACAGTCAAACAAACAAGGCCACAAAATAGTGAGGGAAGCAAGTATGGAAGACAAAGGTCTTTGGGAGGCAAAAGCCAATTTTCCAATATTTTCTCCAAGTATCTTTTTACAAGATGAGATATAAGATATGCTGCCTAAAACAATATACGAAGGGATTATAAGTAAGTTAAAACGTTTGGGAACAAATTCCAACAGAAAGGCTATAAGTGGCAGTCTTACAAGACTGAAACAAATGAGCAGATTTGCTTTTCTACTTTATTGCCACTTGGAGAAACTGCTGCACAGATTTTGTCCTCTGCATTGGGGGTGTTCTTGGCTGGACATGGTGAGCATTAAATGTTCATCCTTGCCTACAAGAAAACCCCAACGGTTGGGATGGAGTTTGTCACAATCTCTTGACCCTCCGAGCCTCGATAGGATGCTGCCGCATTAACGAAGCGGCTGAAATCGTCGGATTTTAATGTAACACCTTGCGGGGCGGTACATAAACAGTGAGTAGGTAGTTAGACATGTGAATGTTGAGCATCAAATATTTGTTATTCAGTTGAAACAGAAAATGTGTCTCAACTATTTTACGAGTCCCCAAAGTTGTATTGCAGAATTCGACACATGAATGTTGCATTTCATATACCTTTCCTGCTTTTTGAAAGCGAAATCTAAAAAATTTTGCATACCAACTAAGTAGGTTTCGTCAACAAGTTTCATCCATTCCATACTAGGAGCCATAACCATGAAAATTACACACAACTTATATTAAAGAATATAAAGAATAACAAAAGTAATAAGATCAACACAACTTGTTACAATCAGATTCACCATGGCATTCTCTGAATCTTTAGGAGATAGCACTAATAACTAGTTCGAGACTAAAGTCACGTTGTTTGGACATAACTGGTGTATTGGGAAAGGTATCAAAAAACTATTTATGAAACTGATTCCTTTAATTTTTGTTGCACAATTGTGTGAATAATGAAAGGAAAACACCATGGAAGATCGAAGAAACTATTAAAGATAATAAAGATCTGTTAAACCGATACATGATTACAAGCAACTACTATATATATGGTGAAACTTACAAAGTGGATGATAGATTGTCTTTTTAGTACATAATTGAAACCAAGTTCACATCTACATTAACTTCAACATACTCCCAAAAGAAATCAAGGTACTTTTGAATATTGATAGATGGAAGTTCCCTCGGTACGAACACAAAGAAGAAGACTGTTGTTAGGCTGAATTTTGATCCCCAATACTAATATTTTAAATTGTTGGAGGAAGATGTAACTTGTATAGATATTATTCTCCATCGTGCATTTAACACGTCTTAAGATTAGATAAAATGTATGGAGTATCAATTCTCTGATGTGGAAGCTATACAGCTCACTCAAATCACTTGTAACTTTGGGTTCCAAAGATGAATGGAACACAATCTTTTGATCAAAAATAAAAATACAGTCAAATGGTACAATGGAAAATAAAATATAATAAACTACAACTTTACTTTATCAAAAAAAAGAAGATAATAAACTAACTTGTAATTAAAATGTTAGTTCTTAAACATGTATACATGATTCCTTTTAGCCTTCCAAAGATTAAAGTAACTTGTCATTAAAAGAAACTATTTTTGATAGTTGGTTTAAGATCACACGATTTCTCTTAATAATTATTGTTATGGAAGAAAAATTTATATAGATACAGTAGTAATTGTATGTTTGACATAACTCTGCTCATAAACTAGCTTCTCTAAGGTGTTCTACATGATTTATCGCAGCCTCAACTACTATTAAAAAAATAAAGAAAATTAGGATTGCTAAGTCACAATTGCCCTCAAAAACTATATGTTATATTGCATATATGTCTAAACTACAGGACACTACTGTTTACCTCACCGAAAGTCACTCCACGAGAGAAGCAACTAGAAAAGTGAGGTACATAACTAGTGTTTTATAGTCATCCAACTGCAGTAATGATCATCTACAAACATACAGAGCTACCTTGATGCCTATTATTGAGCAGATGTTTAGGCTAAATTGGACATCACTTGGTTAAGGTGAAAAATATTTAGCTATTTTTTGTGAAGACACTATATTCATCAATGATTTGGTAGTTGATATCACAAGTTCCATATTTTAGGAGACATTCAGGTCCAATTATTCCTTAATCGAAGTGCTAAAGTTGTAACAAATTCCACAACAGAAATAGACAGATCTACACATTTATTAGATTAGGGGATGAGAGCGAGCAGATACATGTTATGGCTAAACTTTAGATCAATGTACTAGACTCTAAATGAGCATGAAATTAATATGACTAATAAGTTGGAAACTTGGATACCAATATCTAAATTCTAACAGATGATCACTTCAGGCAGGATTCTGGAAACTACAGGCAATTGTTGGGGAAGACAAGGCACTAAGAAAGAATGCCTGACAGGATAACAGTGGAAGAATACCCAAGTATATACTTCCCCTTTTTGATTTGAACCAAGAGAAGACAAACCACCAAAGGAAA